CGTCAAATTCTGTCATTATTAAAATAACATTAAAATAGACGGGAATTCCAAGTCAAATATGGATGGTTCAGAAGCAAATTCGTGTAAGCTTACTACAAAGAAAGAAAATATTTTATTAAATTTAGCCCTACAAAATTAACATCAAAGGTAAAAAGCATTTTATGAAAAATTATGCTTGACAGCTTAATTTTTAGTGGTACACATCTTTTACGTTAAACTCCAGAAATCAAAACAATCATTGGTATATTTCTCGATTCACATTAATTAACATATTCTGGTGGCTTTAAATGAATTTCACTAATTACAGAGAGATCTCCCCAAATAATGAACGCAGCTAACCAGTTAAAGTAGCGGGACTGCGTTTGATGGAACGTGCAGAATTTTTGCATCTAATTCGATCATAAAATAAATACAAAAATTTAATAGAATTATACTTTAAGAAATCTTACATTTTATACATCACACACAAAACCTCGTAAAAGGGAGTTCTTGTAAGATCCCAAAAGTGTAAACACAATAACCCGGGGGGATTAGATTGATTAAGCAGCTGTTCCGGCTTGTCTCCGTCCGCACACAATTAGGCCTATTAAAGTGTGCGTAGTTGTGACACAGCTGAGTCTTGTAGGTGATTACCAACGTATCAGTCAAAAATATCGCTTTCATTCTCTTCCATTCATCGGAAACTTTGGTATTCACTGCGTCACAACCCAGACGACCACGATTAATATTTTTAACGCCGCGACAGACTCATTATCGAATTACAATCATACAGATGTTAGATTAGCCTATTCTATCTGATCAAACAGCATATTTTAACAGTATTACGTCAATTTCTGACTCTTTTACAGTTTCAAAGCATATTAAATATGTTTAATGTCTTAATATTAATGCTATTCTCCACTTGATTGAAGTAATAGACCTACAACAATTATTTTAAAACTATTAAATAATTCTGTTGATTAGATCAACGCTTATACATTTAATAATGTCTCAGGTCTATTTTTGTATTTGCTTAATTATTTGGAAACTGAAGTCCTTTGAAGTTTTATCCATTACATTTTACGCAGAATCGGTGTATAAGTTCTTCCCAAAACAATGAAGACTATAATACGCCCTAAAGGTAATTAGTTCACACCATTCTGTAACACGCTTACAATTACAAGCAGTAATTAGAAAATATTACAAAGTCGAAATCCATAATATGACCATCTGCACAGAAAATTCAGAAAGCTAGTTCATGAGGTGGACAGCATTTCATTGCTACAGAGCAAAATAATTTTTATGTCTCGAGTAACAGTTATTAAACTGTCAAATTAAATATAATGAAAGTAATTATTAAGACACAGACTTACATTAACTGAAAATTCCGTCACCAACACAAGATTTATACAACTAAAAATCTGACCAATAGAAAGTCTCGCCGGAACTCCCTGCTACTGTGATGTGCATTTGTTTCTGAGATACGAAGATGGCTTTCAGTAACGCGCTGACTGTGTCAGTTCTAACAACGGACAATCCTTTCATTAGTTATTTTACCTCGGCAGTCGCTCGGGGCGGTGGAGTGTTGGCCGTCGGCCCTGCAATCCGTCAGTCCCCGACGCCCATTTCTCATCGCGCATGCGTGCCTCAGATGCCGCGTCCTTAGCCAAGCACCGGCAATTAGCAGAAATAGAAATACCCTCCGCTCGAAGAACATTCATCAATCAACTGTGGGACCTCAAGATAGGTCAGCTACCCAAATAGAAATTTGGTAGCTACTGCTCTTAGAAAATACCATAAAACATACTTTATACACGTGTAGCGGAGGATTTTAACTTTAAACGGTGCAAAACACTTTGCACAAACGCATGGCTAAGTGATTATCAGCAAAGAATAAGACGTGGATGCCGTCTGGAACTCTTAAGAGACAATTGATACAAACCACTGTCTGATTTAGTGATATCTTAACAAAGAAAGTTTCTTATCAAATGATTTCTAAACATCGCGATTAAACCTGTAACATGAGGATGAATTTTCGAGTCCCATGAACGCAGGGATCTTCTTGACTAACTAAATATGAAGACAGTACAGTAATTAATAACTCAATTCTGTGCGTAATTTTCAACAACAGTTCAACAGATTCTGTCTACTTTGATTTTTTTCCCGAAATAAAACCAAAGTTTTCAACTACCACCTGTAGTTCCTAATGCATACAAAATCTTTCGCACTGATTACAAGTTAAGTTTCATTTCGTATCTCCAAAACAAAACAAAACAAAAAATTCTATGGTTAATTATTTAAGGCCACAAACTTCGCGCAGCCGCCATGTTGCTTTATACTCGTAAAATACGCCTCAACAAAACTTGCACATTTTTATTTCATTTACCACCACATAAAATTACAATACGTGGCGCTAATGTTGCACCCCACCTCAAATGTTCACACGAACGACTTTGATAAGGAAACTGGAAACGGGAAACGGGAAACACTAGTGACGTAAATCTGTCATTCAGTCCGAAAGTTAGGGAACAGCCTGTCTGTCTGTCTGTTCTTATAACATAAGAATAAACAAGGTCTTTGTACCAATGAGGCACGTTTGCCAACTGGTTGTACGTGTTCTGATTACTGCTACTGCATTTAAGACCAAGCCGTGTAGGCGAATGGCTCATATAAATCAGAATGTCCGGACAAGACTCCCATCTGGTAGGTCGGGGTTCCATAACGTGTTTGTGAAGCGAGTTTCGGTGAGTTCCAAAGTCTTAGCTGTTTTCGTACATTCACAAAAGTTATCAAAGTGGACCGTAATTGCCCAGTCCAAGAAGGAAACTTACGTTGTTCAGAAAAGGTTTGAGGGGAAATAACACATGTGGTTTAGGTAGTAGAATGCAGGTAGCACTGCAGTCGTACATGCCTTCTTCACGTGGTTCTCACACGTAGGCTCTCATAACACGTAATTTTTCATACATTTATTCCACTTGTCTATAATTATTTATTCTCTCTACCCACAAAATATAAGCTATTTCAGAAATCAAATAAACAAGCAAGCACATATTTTGAAATCTACTAGGCTGAGGTTCCTAACCACGCGCGCCTTTGTTCTGAGGCTTCGAGGGGAAAGTCTATACTTTTGGTTTGAATGTATTCTCACGTCTACCAGCCAAATACTGAACAATTACAATAAAGTGTGAATAACTTGGCAGATTTCGGCGTACATGAGAGGATAATATTAAAACAAATCTTTAAAAAAAAACAGGGTTGTGGACGGTATTAAACTGGCTCTGGAAAGGATAATTTTGGGTTTTTGTGAACAAATTCCACAAAAGCAGGGAATGCTAGCAGATAACCGAATATTAGCTATTCAAAAACTTTGTTTCATGAACATTTGTTATTTTACGAAATCTAATGGTCTATTAACCGTTACCACTAACCTTTAGAATGGCGATGGTCGCTTTACATCACAGTTCATAAAAACAGACATGGAATGAGACAAGGAGTGCCCTGAGGAAAATTATTTTCGTTTCTTATGCCACGGAGTTCTCTACCCTTGTAACGCTGTCTGTCGCCGAATCAAACGATCCTCCAAGTCCTGCCTGCCTTTCCCTGCGAAGAGCCAAGTTTTCTGAGACCGGAAATCGTTCTTATCGCTGTGCGCAGATAAGGGATGTGGGGTGGACGCCATTTTGTCAGCCTATCTTCCTTCCGGAACAATCAACCCATCCAAAAATAGAAGAGGCGCGTTCCTGCCGCTCCAAGTTTCACGGTATTGCAAGTAGATGGTTAATTGAACATCACGTACATGAAATACAGACCCGTGCCTACGTGAAGGATTTGGTACATTATCAAATAGTTCACGAAAACAAACATGGATCATAAAATTAACCAACTTCATGGAGCGACTCCATCTTGAGAATCTGACAGTCGCTCGGATAATCAAGAAACTCTTTTACGGAACTTTAAGAGTCGTCTATTATCATAATCAGAAGAACTTAACACTATATCCTACATCAAGCCAAAGAGTTCAGTTTGTTCAGTTGAGACTCTCGTGCCCTACTTACGACTTACTTCAACAGGCCTATTTATGTTCCATCTACACTTAGGTCTCCGTGTGTTCTTCTCGATTCCAGTCTAAAAATTTGCATGTATTTCTTTCATTCCCCATGCGCGCTACATTCCGTAACAAATACACGACAAGAATAACAAAAATATTAGATTATAATCACAGTCGTAACCATTACAGGAGTTACACGACGTAATCATCGCCATCCCCCCCCCCCCCGTGAATCACAGAACAAGTCAGGGGGTGTCAGGTCCCGCCATTATTCAGCCCCCTGAGAAGTGAGCAAGACAAATAATGGCCCGGTGAACTATAAAAATTTAATGATCACGTTTCCCTTTCGTAATGAATCATTAAATTGAACCATTCAATGCAAAAATTATGCATTTAAAGTCGCTTAATTTTTTTTTAAACTTTCTTACGTATTTTATGAGTAGACATAAAAGACTCGTAGATGGAAGATGGGGCGGTTTTTTATATCCTGTGGCCAAGGAGGGGGGGGGGAGGCGGAATAAGGTGGGTCTCTGACCGTGGTAATTTTTAAACAGGTTCTGTAACTACTTACTTAAGGAGACAATATCGTAGTGGTGATACCATAAAATTTCCACCAAAACCAGCTTATAGATTTTTGGTGCACGAAGAGAGTTATAAAGACGTGATAATTATTAGATAAAATCTCGCGTTACCTTAGTCTAAAGTTCATGTCCCGGTGGTCGGACTAATTAACGCTAATGTAATCTTTTACTACGCGGCTTCAATCAAAATTCAATTTGAGGTTCTCACGACGACGACTATCTTCTGGGTTCTTTCGTCTCGTTGTCTGGTCGAAGTTAACCGACGACTCAGAAGTGCTTGCTGTCTGCAACAGCGCCCTGATGACGGAGGCAGCAATCAACTTTGAAGCGTCGGTTAACTTTCAATAGACAAAATCTTAAATCAGCATCGACCAGAGAGACGTCATTGTCAACGAGGCAAGTGTAAGGAGCGTGGCGCCACTGCGGCTAATCCCAGGGGAAGAACAATTCAGATTAGACGCACGTGAAACTTTTTCTTGTTAAGCTTTTCCCGTATTTTGCCAAATAACATTTTCTTATGACCTTGAGATTATGGAACACCCTGTATAACGACTCTTGCTAGATCGTGGCTCATGTAGAAATAAAATTTGCCAACACTCCAATCATAAAATGTACTAGCAAGAGTTTAAATTTCTGTAAATACTCGAAGCCCGTACATTATCTCCTTACATCCCTGCCCATTACGGTTTGGCCTTCTGGAAGGTCAATTCCTCGATGTCTTCAGACATTTGGAATAAAGGGCAAGACTGCGGAGTCTAGTATTACGTATTCTATTCACCTCAACTCGAGGCTAAGACCCATTCGAATCTCATACAATCCCGACATCCGAAATTACAACAGACATTAACGCCAAAGATATCACAACAGAATTTACGACCACGGAACGAAAATTTATTATCACGAGAATGAACTCAATGGGTAAAATGCTGTCCCATATACGCCATGTAGGCACTTGGGAGGATAGAAGGTACAGCTCCTACGGGCGAAATAACTCGGGTATACAAAAATATAAGCCTGAAACAACAGAAGAGTAGGTCTAATCCTGTGCAGACTGTTCCCTTACCTGAAGCACCCTCTTTGGCAACCCCGTTTTCTGGGATAGCTGTTTCAGGTCTTTGGCGTCGGGGTTATGATTAATGGCGAAGTACGACTTCATGGTGCGAAGCTGATGGTGCTTGAACGATGTGCGCATGCGCTTAGTACGTTGCTGGCCGTTGGATCCGGGAATTCCCGGAGTTCCCGGACCTGAACGTCCGAAAGAAACATCCAAGTAGTCTGCACTCAAGTCTGGAAAAAGAAATATGTCAATGCAGCAACAGAACTAAACGTTACTTGAAATTCAAGACAATTGGCAGTTATAAACAATTGTAAACAAAACGAACGGAAAAAGTTTTCAAGGAAATTACTGACAACGAACTAAAATTTCACCGATATTATTGGAGAGCTCTCCTAGATAAGCTACATTAAATGCAAAGTATATAATAAATTAAATGAAAACATTGAACAAAAATGTATATAACTTGCAGGCCTATCATCAGTTAAATATAATATTGAAGAAAATTGTTTAAAATAAAATGAGTTCTGATATGGCTACTTAAAACAAATAATTTGAAGATTAAACTTGGGACATCGATAAAACTCAGGCAATTAGAAGAAGTCTGTACGAAATTGCGCAGATTATCTATAGTTTTAAAACAGAAAAACAAGCAAAGAATTTAGTCTTGCTGCAAACAGAAAAAAGGTAGAAGAATTGACGAAATATCAACCAAACTGGAAACACGGACAGAGAATTCAAAGTAGAAAATCACCAAGAGTAAAGACAGACGTGGCAAGAACCAAAAGTAACATCAGGTTTAGAAATATGTAATTATTCGTACTCGCATGGCGCACCCAATCACTGATTTGAAGAAGAAACTTACTCCCAAATATGCTTTGGTATAACAAGTCTCTCGTTTTCAGGTCTTCCGATTAAAATATTGTACGCATTTCTTATCTCCCCCATGCGCCCCACAAGCAAGACCAACTCCTTGTTTTAGTCAACCTACTTTCATGCAAAATAAAAGTTATGAATCTATTCTGAAGGGTTCTGATGATGGTGTAATTCAGTCTGGACTGATGTTTTTTATATAAAATTACGCAACCTTTCAAGGACCGAATCTTTAGTCGTCTTCAGATGTGGCGAAGCGTAAGGGAACTTAATGTGGGTATTTTCCAAATCTGAAGGACCCCGCAGAGTAGGAGCTTCACAACTTCTGTAGACGAGGAAAGATTCAGTCCTCGAACCTTCTGGTAAC